CCTGCATATTATACATATTGAACATTGGTGGCGCCACCCACATGACCCGTAAAATCGATGGCCGCCCTGGTCGTATCCACAGATTTAAACAAGTCACTAGAAATTAAACCAAATAACGCAAGGGCTTTAAGATATCGAGGAGAAACTCACTGTCAGATGCATAAATATGAAGAAGCACTTGCAGATTTAAACAAGTCACTAGAAATTGAACCAAATGACGCATGGGCATTAAGTCGTCGGGGAGAAACTTATCGTCGGATGCATAAATATGAAGAAGCATTTGCAGATTTAAATAAATCGCTAGAAATTAAGCCAAATGACGCGTGTGCATTAAAATGCCGAGGATATTTTTATCGTCAGATGGACAAATATGAAGAATCGCTCACAGATTTAAACAAGTCGCTAGAAATTGAACCAAATGACGAATTGGCATTAAGACTTCGAGGAGAAACTTATTGCATGATGCAAAAATATGAAGAAGCACTTGCAGATTTAAACAAGTCACTAGAAATTGAACCAAATGACGCATGGGCACTAAGTCGTCGGGGAGACACTTATCGTCGGATGCATAAATATGAAGAAGCTCTTGCAAATTTAAATAAATCGCTAGAAATTGAACCAAATGACTCATGGGCATTAAGTCGTCGGGGAGACACTTATCGTCGAATGCATAAATATGAAGAAGCTCTTGCAAATTTAAATAAATCGCTAGAAATTGAACCAAATGACGCATGGGCATTAAGTCGTCGGGGAGGCACTTATCATCGGATGCATAAATATGAAGAAGCTCTTGCAAATTTAAATAAATCGCTAGAAATTGAACCAAATGACGCATGGGCATTTAGTCGTCGGGGCGACATTTATCATCGGATGCATTAATATGAAGAAGCACTTGCAGATTTAACCAAAACATTGAAAATTAAACCAAATGACTCATGGGCATTACGTAATCGGGGAGAAATATATCGCATGATGCAAAAATATGAAGAAGCACTTGCATATTTCAATAAATCATTAGAAATTGAACCAAATGATGCATGGGCATTAAGTCGTCGTGGAGACACTTATCGCATGATGAAAAAATACAAAAAAGCACTTGCAGATTTAACCAAATCATTGGAAATTAAACCAAATGACTCATTGGCATTACAATTTCGAGGAGAAACTTATCGCATGATGAAAAAATACGAAGAAGCACTTGCAGATTTCAATAAATCATTAGAGGTTAAACCAAATAACGCATGGGCTTTAAGATATCGAGGAGAAACTTATTGTCAGAAAGTTTAAAATTGCACTAACCTTAACTATAATTTCAAACCTGATCAGATGCATAAATATGAGGAAGCTTTTGCAGATTTAAATAAATCACTAGAAATTGAACCAAATAACGAAATAGCTTTAAAATTTCTTGAGAAACTCAATAAAAAATTAAATAAACCAAATAACGAAATAGCTTGAAAAACTCAATAAAAAGTTCAATAAAAAATAAATTTAAGCAAAATTATCTCTAATGTTATTATTATTATAATATAACTTATTTATTTTTTGCAAATTATATTAATACCTAAAGCCATCTATTTTAAACTTTCTAATTTCAGATTGATTGAAAATTTAATAATAATATAATAAAATGTCTCAATCAAGACTAGAGATGCGCCGTTTATATGATACTCAAATTTTCTTTTGCGTGCAGTACGTATGGTATTGCATATGGCAAACTTTTAATCAAAAACCACTAATAATATTGTCAGATATTATATTCAGTACGTATAGTACAGTGGCGGGTTAAGTTCATGCGTGAGAGTGAAAACCTGGAACTCCTTATAAAAAAAAATTTCTGGAAAATTCTGAAATTATCCAAATTTTTGTTCAGAAAATCGACTCCGTTCCGAACATTTTAAAGGATGTTTATTGGATGTTTATGTTTTTATACATTTTTCATAAATTTTTTATGCATTTTTTATACGATAATTTTTAATCAAAAATTTTCTATTTTTACATCCCGTACAAACATCGATATGAAAACAGTACAAAAATAAACCCCGTTCGAAAAATCCGAACATTTTTTTGGACAATGCCTACAATAATTGAACAAACTTTTTTTATAGGGACTTGATTTAATAATTTATTATGAATGGTTACATACAGGTTTTACTCTCACGCACTCATACGAATAACATTACGGCGCACTTGTCAAATTTAACTAATTTTTTATCCCCAAATTTAAGTTTTGGGGACAAAATTTATTATCGATTTTCTAATATTGAACCCCTAAAAAAATTATTAGCGCTCCGATCTATAATAACAATGCGTCTAACCCATGTACCCCACAGGCTAACCCATCTTCCCACTTTTTGACGCATTTCATTAGACATATAAATTTATTATAATGACGCACCTGGGAAGCATTGACTATTTTAGCCAAAACATTTTTCTCGCACAAGGGCTAATTTCAGATGAAAGTAAAGACTCTCATGTTTGGCTTTTTAAACAAATTCTCAAGGCTACTAATATTCAGCCAACAGTAGTTATGACAGATTCAGATCCTGCAGTTGATGCTGCAATAAAGGAAATATTTCCAACAACATACCAAATATATTGTGCATTTCATATTACACAAAATCTCCACAAAAATCTTCAAAGTCTAATTGGAAATCAATATGATCAATTTCTCAAGGACTTTTATCTATGTAGGAATAGTTTGGTTCAAACTACCTTTTACAACCGATTTACAAAGTTAACTGATGATTATCTGAAGAGTAAGCCTTACTTGGACAATCTCTATAAAACAAAAGAGTATTGGGCCCATTCATTTACATGTTTTAATTTTACCAGAGGTATGATCTCAACGTCAAGAGTTGAAGGCATGAATGCATGCCTTAAAAGATTGTTATATAATTCCAACATTTCACTTTGTGAACTTATGTGAGAAATTCATAAATTACTTGACCAGCAGGATAAGCATAATCAATATAAATATTGGAAACTCGCTATACTAACAGTTAAAATTATTAAGCAAGTGAACTTTTTGTTTACTGAGGTAGACAAATGTTGCTAAAAATTCTTAATACTGACTATTCTAAAGATGCAACGTAACGAAATCAATCAATTCCTCTATTATAATTCACATTTATTTTCTCAAAACATTACATTTGGTAATAATATTACATTTGATAATGAGTCTAAAATTCTTGTAACAGATACTGAAGAGGATGATATTGATAATTCCAAAGCTACTATATGACAATTATTAGATGTAGTTGAACAGGATAATGTTAATGAAATATGGGAGATAAATATTGAAAATTCTTTAAAGAAAAAACACTATGTTGTTCTGTTAAATAATGAAACACATTTGTGTTCGTGCCTTACAATCGTTCAGCAAGGTATTATTTGCCGACACTATTTCCAGGTTATGCTAAATAATAGTAAAGCCAAATTTCACATCAGAATGATCCCATCTCGCTGGTATTGGAAAGATAAAGATGCATCACTTGAACCATTTATTATCGCTGATAAATATTACAATGAACTAGCTAATTTTACACAGAAAAATGATAGGCCAGTAACTTATTTGTGTGTAATTGACAAAGAAAAGTTGGATCTCGCTGAACAAAGAGTAAATATCCTTGAACAAAAAGCTCTATATGGTACTCTTCATGGGATGTATAAGAAAGCTATACAAAAAACTTTACAATTGAAGTCAAGTTCAAGCTGTCTAATTAAGGTATTGCAAGAATTTACTAATGAGGATGACGAGAATGATGATGAATTGTCTAGTGAAGTGAAGATTTTACAAGTGATAAAGAAAACACTGCTCTTGAACCGTGTTAACTGCAAAATCCTAAAAGAAAGTGGGGCAGAGGAAGACCAGCTGGCACAAAACGAATTAAAGCATCGTATAAAACAAATAATGATAAGGGAAAACAGCAACGACGTTATAAAAAATGTGGGAATTATGGTCATTATCAAAAAAACTGTAATGTTTAAAATTCTTTGTTTTATAATTTAATGTCATACTCAATAGAAATTTGACAAAAGTTGTATGGAGGTCTTGTAAGATTGGGATTATGTTATTAGGTCTTGTAATTGCGCTTTGAGCAAGAAATGATATGCATGTTTTAAGTATATATACATATTGCAGTAGTATTTACATACATACATATGTACTAATTATCGATATTTTTGTTAACTGTTATGTGTGTATGTGCAGGTATTCAGTAAATACTGTATGGCAGTACAGATTTGAATGAACATACGTATATATGTACATACATACAAAAATTATACAACATTATAATTATACGTACGTATGTAACCCCATTTAATAGTTAGAGTTAGGGTAAGCACTAGTACGTACTGTCCTTTTTTCAAGTTGGAAAAGTAATAAATTTTTTCTTTTATACTATCATGATTTCTATACATCCTTCTAATTGTGGTTCTGTATCGTACTACTTTGCTACATACTCTGTATGTATAACTTGATATATACTTAAGTATGTATGTACTAATTTATGCTAATTTGCATTTGAGTTAGTATTAAAGTTAGCGTTAGGGTGAGGGTAAGTATTAATATATATTATAGTTCCTTATTCATATTAGAGTAAAGTTAGTATTTAGATAAAAAAGACTCTCCATATTATGTATGTATGCATTACGCATTATAGTACTAAATTATTGATTATTAGTTAGTCATAGATCATATGAACAGCGATGCAACACCATAGCAGTAAATTATAAAACCCTTATTTTAATATATTTTTAAAATATTTTAAACATATTTTAACAACTTAGATGTTATTAAGATAACATAAATAAAAAAATATTTTTACAATATTTTTAATATATTTTTAATATATTTTTATAATATTTATATTGTATTTTAATTTTAAAATATTTTAAAAATATAATAAAAATATTTTAATTATATTAAAAACATATTTAGCAAAAAAACAGGTTTCTGTAAAGTTATAATTTCACAAATCTTACGAAGAGTGTTAAGCAATTAGTTATGAATTTTTTTTTGTTGATACGGAGATTGTAAACTGTTTTTATGTTATACTAATTAGTTAGGCTCATAATTAAAGGATGTTAACACCTGACAACTTGTAAAAATACCTGGCTCAGTATTTAATTTAAAACTTTATTAGGCTTCCATAGAAATTCTATAGAATCTACTTATAATGATGATCTAAAATCCAATAAATTTTTTCGGTTTTTCTTTTACTTCATAATTGCATTAGCACGGTTATTTCGATCTTTCAATTCTTCGGAATTAAAGTTTGCTATTCAATCGAACACGTCAGAATGAATCTAATATGGCAAATACTTTGCTCAAATAAAAATCAATCAATAATTGGAAGTGCTTCTAATACTGTAATAGCATAGCGGAAGTTTGTTTTGATTGGTTGATATTATAGTAATTTTTAAAGTACTTTTAATAGTAAAAATCGTCGTGTCATATGAAACTTTTTTTTTTGTAATACAAAACGTAACAACCAACTTGAGTTTTTGGTAGTTTACCTTTAAACTTATCGTTTTTTAACCTGAGATGCAATAAGTTGCAGTAGCTCCAAAAACTAGATGAGAGGTGAATATTTTGAAAGGTCGGAAGGTAGTTCGGTGGTCTAAACAATTAGTAAGTGAAATTTTGAGACTCTACTTCAACTAGTTTTGTTTGTTTTTTTTAAAGTATAAGGTATTTTTGAACTATTATTCTGAACCGTATTTTGAACTGTATTTTAATATTTTTTTATTGTTTTTATTTAGATATAAGTATAGTTTATGAATATGACGTTTATAATACAATAAGTGATAGTAGTAATAGTGTTTAGGATTGTTGTGTATGCGTTATTTAAATGTGAAAAAAAATAAAAACTTTGTAAAATCTAAATTAAAGTTATTATAAAACTGAATTAGTGTAAAATTATAATATATGTTTTTTAGAGCATTATTCATTTTTTTTCTTTTTTAAATTATTGATTTTTTAAAAGTTCGCAATTTTTATCCGGGATTAGCCGGTACTCTATCCGGGGTATGATGACAATTTTTCCGGTGTATCTCAACAACCAATCAAAACGAACTTCGCTATGCTGCTTCTGATATATAACTCATATGAGTTCTAGTATTGTTGTTATTTAATAATTTCATTTATTTTTTTTGATATAAAAAAAAATTTTATAGTCATGAATAGTGCTGTGTTGTCAAACGAAACCTATAGGTTTCATCAAAAAAAATTTAAAAAGATATAATGAAGAAAAATGACGAAACTCAAAAGGTGACGGAATTAACAAAGCTAATAAAATTAATAAAACGAAAACACCATAAATTCGCCCTTTAAATTAATCATCAGTATACCGGATTTACTAATTTTTTCCACAAATTTCTTTATTGACTGAGATTATTCGCATCAAATTATATGTCACTTCCTCTTTAAAATGTGATGCCTAATTGGGTTAATGAGTTCTATCATACTAAAATCAGAAATTTTTTTATTAGTCTGCAAGAGGTGATTTCTTAAACGAAATGTTGAGATAAATGTGAGTTTTCGAAAAAGTAATTGTTTTTCTTTAGTTTTTACGTTACGACTGAACTTGTTCTCTGATTGGCCAGTAAATGTGTCATGTTATCAAGATTGTCGATTTTATCCAATCAAATTGGTAATGTATACAGTATAATTTTTGGTCGGAATTGACTTTTTGACTTTTTCATTCCGAAGATGGAAATTTTAGAAAAATAGGCCCACACAATAGTAAAATTAGCCCAGGAACACTTTTCATTTAATGGGCGGTTGCGATTTCATTAGTAAAATTTTAAGTAACTTTGGCCTAAATTTTTGATCGTCGCTCTTAGTCAATCAAAATCAAGAACCTACGTACCATCATTACACTTACGATGTCCCAATAGCATATGCGCATGGGTTACACAGTGGCGTACTACTCCATTATAATACTGTATGCTTCGGATACGTATTTATTTCCTGACTTTGATAACTTAGAATAAAAATGACTACAAAGTTTTTTGAAAAACTTTCTAGCAATTTAAATGACCTTCTCACCAATAGTAATGAATACAATGTCATAATTGAAGTTGGTCAAGTACCAAATAATCAAACATTTAAAGCGCATTCTATTATTTTAAGTTCCAGATGCTCGTATTTTAAAAATAAATTAAGTTCAATAACTTGTGGTGAAGGTAATACTAAAAAAATTCATCAAACTAATATTTCAGTTAAAGCCTTTGATTTTATCATTAAGTAAGTAATTAATATAAATAATCAGTGTTTAATAACATTGTTATAAAACGCACCTATGGTGATTTTGCACCCTATCATATGTTTATTTTAGATTTTTCTAATTTTTTAAATTTTTTATACAGAATTTTTAACGAAATTTTTTCACGTTGAGTTAGTATTTAGGGTTAATGTTAGGATTTGGATGGGTTTTTTGGGGCATAGACTTAGAACACACTATACTGATTAATTTCCTGTTTTTGTGACAATGTATGCATAGGTGCAAAACATCATATGTGCGTTTTAGTAAAAGATTTTAATAATATTTAAATTAATGTTTTAACAAATAGGTATATATACAGCGGTGTTATTTCGTTAGAAAAAGTTGATACATCAGCTATTTTTGATCTTTTAATTGCTTCCAATGAATTTGGACTTAAAGAATTAGTTGAGCATATTCAATTAATTTTAATTAAGAATCATGCTTCTTGGCTGCGTTTGAACTTTTCTCTTGTCTATCAAACAAGCTTTAAAGATGATAATTTCAATGAATTGCGGCACTTTTGCGCTAACATAGTTGCCAAATATCCAAATATTATTTTCGACTCTGACGAATTTATTACTCTTCCAGAAAACATTCTAATTTTTGTTTTGAAACTTGATGATTTGCAAATGGATGAAGGAACGATCTGGGATTATGTAATTAAGTGGGGAATTGCTCAAAATCCTTCTTTAAATATTAACCTTGACCAATGGTCCGATACAGACTTCTTAACTTTGAAGAATACGCTCCAAAATTGCCTACCTTTAGTACGTTATTTTCAGATCCCTGGTAAAGAGGTTTTTGAAAAAGTTCGACCCTATCATAAAATTCTTGAACCAACTTTATGGGAAAATATTCAGTTGAAATTTATGTCACCAGACCAGGATATTAATTATCCTATTTTACCTCCTCGAAATATTTTGCATAAATCACTTCCTTTACGAGACAATTTAGCTATTTCTACATCTGCTCAACAACCTTTGAATTCATCAATTAATATAGAAAGAGATAATATGAAAAAAATCGAATTAGATAATATAGCTATTTTAAAGGAACGTGCATTACACCATTACAAAGCAGACAAAGATGAAGAAGCACTTGCAGAATTAAATAAATTGCTAGAAATTGAGCCAAATAACGCATGGGCATTAAAATATCGAGGAGATATTTATCGTCTGATGAACAAATATGAAGAATCATTTACAGATTTAAACAAGTCACTAGAAATTGAACCAAATGACGCATCGGCATTACGTAAACGAGGAGAAACTTATCGTGAGACGCATAAATATGAGGAAGCACTTACAGACATAACTAAATCATTAGAAATTGAACCAAATAACGCATGGGCATTACGTAAGCGGGGAGAAACTTATCGTCAGACGCATAAATATGAAGAAGCACTTGCAGATTTCAATAAATCATTAGAAATTGAACCAAATAACGCATGGGCATTAAACAGTCGGGGAGATACTTATCGCATGATGCATAAATATGAAGAAGCACTTGCAGAATATAATAAATCATTAGAGATTAAACCAAATGGCACATGGGCATTAAAATATCGAGGAGAAATTTATCGTCGGATGCATAAATATGAAGAAGCACTTGCAGATTTAAATAAATCATTAGAGATTGAGCCAAATAACAAATCTGCTTTAAAATTTCTTGAGAAACTCAATAAAGAAATAACTAAAAAATAAATGTAAATAAAATTATCTTTAATATAACGTATTTA